TTTTCTCAACCGAGATAAATTAAACAAAATTAGACAGCAAAAGAAACCCAGAAAAGTTAAAACACAGTTTCACACTTTCTGAAAAGAGAAAAATGTCAAAAAAACAAATACAAATTTAGGAATGCACTCAAGCAAATAGAATCTAATATGTTTTTAGAAAGTTATTTATTTTAACTCCACGATTTGTAGGAGGAGAAAAATTTGGCATAAAGGAAGAATAAAAAAGTTTTTCTATTATTGCCATGGCAAAAGTTGTGAAGAAATTTATTTCAGTCTCTCCTACCTAATAGAAATGCGTGTGTGACCTGCCTACCGATATAAAATCACAAACAGGATGTGTGTGTGAACACAGACTAATAGACAGAGTGATTATTAGGGCAATTCTTGCTGGGAGCTGATTGCCAATGATCACTGGAAAAAATAAATTGTTTTATAGGCTTATTGAATATACTTACCAAAAAAAATAAAACAATGTGCAAATACCTTGTTAAAATGAATCATCAAATCAATCAACAACACCCATTAGCAAATGTTTTTATTTAATTTGTATATATCAGTACACATATTTGTGGAAACTATATAATTTCTTGAATCAGATTATTGCATTTTTTTGGAGGTTGTTTGCCTCCCCAATGACTTTCAATCTTCTGCTGTGTATGCAACTGTTCTTCTTGCTCTGTTTTTAGTGAAACTGTAAACATAAACATGATTCCATACTAGTAAATAAATTTATCTCAAGTATCAATACAATTTAATAATATGAGGTTATTACGAGGATACCTTAAAGTATCCACGAAGACAGTACAGCGGGAGTATCAATGTGATGACCTACTGTCTGAGTGCATACTTTAAGGTATCCTCACAATAACCTTATACATCTTTTCCTTCCAAGGATACATCATGGGAATGCCAAAATCCAAAAAGTTTAGAACAGAATCAGCAAACTCCTTTGTGTGGAGTCCGGTCAAACCTTGCTGGCAGCCATGTTTGTTTTTATTATTAGAGAACGCTTACGCGCACAATCATTCCATATTCGGAATTCGCATTTCCTTATATTGTACAAAATGTAGAATGAAAATACCCCATAAAATACCGCAAAATTACGGCGCGCAGCGTTAGGGTGACAGATGTATAATAATATTTAATATGTCTAAAGTATGTACCGAGGCAATAACAGATCCCTGTCCAGTCTTTAGCAACTGTCAAAATTAGTGCTAAATAACTATTCAATAATCTAGGGGGGGTATGTGCATGAAGAACCAAAATTTATTTATTAGATACGTTTGAATCTATCAGTCAGATCTTTTTTTTACATCCTGACTGACAATTTCAAATTATTCTTAGGCTAATATTTCAAAATGTTGATGGGTTTATGCAAAACCTTTTGGATTGTTAAGAATCAGATATCATTTAAACAGTGTATATGTTTTACTTGTGGTGCCATAAATCTAATCAATCCTACATTAATTTGTTCAAGAACTGTAGTTTGTATCACAAACTCGTGGAATATGTAAACAAATTATCCTTAGGCTAATATTTCAAAATGTTGATGGGTTTATGCAAAACCTTTTAGATTGTTAAGAATCAGATATCATTTAAACAGCGTATGTGTTTTACATGTGGTACCATATATCTAATCCGTCCTACATTAATTTGTTCAAGCAATGTAGTTTGTATCACAAACTCGTGGAATATGTAAACGTTTTGAATTGAATTGACTCCAGTATTGAATTGACAGTATGAATGACTCCACCCATAAACATATTTTTTTTAATCACATAAGAATAAACTGATGGTGAAATGGCTATCATTTATGCAAATGAACCATGTTCCAAATAGGTATGCAATACAACCCATGTGAGAAACATAGTTTGTTTACAAGAAATATGATTGCATGTTGTTTGGCAGCAGCAGCAGCAGCACTTTGATAAATCTGATATTAATAATTATATATGATATAATTTATCTCATATAAATATTGAGCACGATACCTAATATTAATTATATGTATTATTCATATCTGATATTATTGATATCTGATTGCTCGTGAGTTGTGTGTTGCATGTTCATAATATGCTTGCAGTTTATAATACATAGTCTTTTCGAAAGAAATTAGAAATATTCATTTTTCATCAGTATCCTTTGTGTTTTACCATTGTTTGCGTATGCATAGTCAAACTTCACTGTTTTTGACTGCATACAACACTCCACAGCAATGTCCTTTCAGCCATTAGACACATACTTTTGACAATTTCTGATAGTTGTCTCAATGGCCATTTGATATTGCATTACAAAACAACAAGCCTGTGATAACAGAAAAGCACTCACTGTACTCCATATGTAATTCCAAAGCTAATGGTTTCAATATTTCACGGTAAGAGACACACCAGGACAGGAAAAACATCACTTTCTTTTTTGAGCGAAACAGCAAGGTTTTCTGTAGAGAAGGTCCCATACTTTTAGCATGACCTGTCCCGGGTGTTGGTTTATCACTTCCATCTGTAATAGTTGGTAAACATTTGAATGACTGAATAATATTAATCATATTCTACAATTATTTTTACAGTAAGCATAGCAGTAAAATGTTAGTGTGTGGGCACTTCAAATTAGAGTACAGTCAAGGGGTTATATTCACTAATGTTTAGGTGCCGCCAGTTTAGCTTGCTTTCAAAAACTACAACACAACTAATTGTGCAGAGAAATTTGCCTAAATACCCCATATATACCCCATATATACCCCATATAATTTATCGATAATAATGATACTCATATTAAAAATTGTAAGTTTTGATAAAAAAGCTTACACTTGCACTGTACTGTAGTTATGTATACAGATTAAAGGAAACATCAATCCAAACAACATAATGACCTTTAAAGAAAAAGCTCCACAAATGTAGGAGAATGCAATTTACAGTTTTTTTATATCACTTTTCATTCTCTAGATATTCAACTTTTCATTAGTATAACTGTGGAATACTTTATTTACTCGCTGATTTTTGATGAGTTCAATGTGAAATATAGGAAAAAAAGTATAAACATCCGAAACATCCCTTCAGCGAAAATAGCGAAAATAAATTCCAAGCGAAAATAAAGTATTCTACAGTATGTAGTCAGCCATCTTGATTCTCAAGCAAAGGATTATGGGTAAAGTATGATATCACAGAATCTGTTGTCAGAAATTGCATGTTCTTTGCCTAGCTCTTTTATCTGGGAGTATTATGTTGTTAGCCTTGACTTTCCCTTCAATCTGCTCCTAATACTCAAATCTACATTGACACTTGGAATGAAACGCAGTCACAAATTTATTGATCACCTCTATATAAAGACCACTTTTTGGAAGTCTCAGGGCATAACAAATGAGCAATGTGTATATAAAGACTACCTGTTTATGTGACCACACTTTCAGCAATTTTTTTGAATAATAATAAATTGTATTCCGTTTAATTTTGTCAAGTCAAACTTATTTCACTTTTATGCAACTCAAATAAATGTATTTTTGTTTCAACAGAATCATCTAATTTTTTTTTTGAGTTGGTGATCCATAAAAAACAAGTTGTTGTCAATGACATAGTCATTATCATTCAAACAAGATGGCCACCAATCAGCCATTTCGGTTTTGATGGTGACAAAAATGCATGTGTGTTTGGCAGACAAAATGTCTTATGTGTGCATTTAGTTTGAACTTAGGCGAGGGTTCTCCGAACCCGCCTATTCACATAGTTCATACCCACCATAGACTCCGGTCAGTCAAAATGACTATTTTGAACTGTAGGCATTAATCAGCGATTCTGCCGGTGACGGAGAGATAGAATCCAGGTCAGGGGAAGCCCCATGACCTCAAGATTCTTTTACCCCTTACGTCACGAACCCACGTGACCGAGGCCACCTGGCAGCGCCACGGGTAGCCGTCCTTCACTCTGGTTCCTTTCTCTCCGCCTCGAGGACTTAAACCAACGCGACGGAAAGAGTGGGGAGGTTGGGGGGGACCCAGA